GGTGTGCTGGTGCTTGCCTGTAACCTAAGCATTTGGAGGATGAAGACAGGAATATCAGAAGGTCAAAGTCAACCTTAGTTATATATTGATTTTTATGCTAGCCTGGGCTACAGGAGATCCTCTTTTGCCTTGTTTGTTTTGTTTTGTTTAAAAATGGAAGATCTGAGAGATGGTAATGGTTAGTAGAACACAGGGGTGTTTTTCTTTTTTTTTTTTTTGAGTTGGGGGCCATTTTGGTTTGGTTTCTTTTAGGGGTGTGTGTGTGTGTGTGTGTGTGTGTGTGTGTGTGTGTGTGTGTGCGCGCGCCTCTGGGGAAAAAAGAGAGAGAGAGAACAGACATATTTGTGAATGTATGTATGCATAGAATAGGAACATTAGAAAGTAACAGGCCATATGCAGTTTAGGAAGCAAAAATGTGTATTATTCAGTGTGTCGCAAGGCTAACCAGTCAAAACCAGAATTGCTCAGTTCTGCTGAATGTGGTGGCACGTGTCTGCAACTACAGTTCACAGAAGACTCAGGCAGAATTGTTCTAAGTTCAAGGCCAGCCTTAGCTACAAGACCTTGTCTCAAAAAGCAGAAACAAAAACAAGCAAGCAAAAAGAAATCCTCTGCTGTATATGCAGCCTGTCTAAAGACAGCATACCTGACAAATGTTCAAGGCTATTTAATCGACCTCTTGATGCATGTGGGTTTTTGCAGGTCTCTGCTCTGTGGTGATCTATTACAGGAAGTGCTTTCAATTCATTTATTCTAAAAATGAGCTCAGATTTGTAGTTATCAAGTTGCCTGGTGCAGGGAGAGCCACTGTACCTAGTTTCAAGCTGACAATAGGATGTCTCCATGGAGACATTAGGGAGGAATGTGCAGGGTTTGCTCCTACAATTCCCAAATCAGGGTTTCCATGTTAAGTACTCTATTTCTGCACTTTACCTCAGAATGGGAAAAAGACTTTCAATGAGCAATGGTTTTTGAGACCATGTCTCGACATTTTTTTCATGAAGGTTTCTCTTCCCCAGCAGGGAGCCAGATTTGGGAGAAATAGCTAGGATCATTTCATATGTAAATGTCCTGACCTACTTTCATGAAATGAATTAAAACTGACCAAAGTGGAGAGGAATTGTAAGAAGCCACTGCATGTGTTTCCTGAATCCACAGCTGGATCCTCCAGGCCTGCTGGGTGGACGTCTCAGTGAGATGAAGCTCACAGCTTAGTGAACACACTTGAAATCTGGGCACCCCAGGGCTGTTTTAGAACTGTCTCCTAATGCCACGGAGGCCCCTTCGGAGATTGGAATGAATAGGGAGCAGAGGAAGCAACGGAAGCCGTCGAGATAGTTTGTGCCACCCACTGAATTTATTGTTTTGGTTTGGGGTTCGGTTGGTGTGTTGGATCAAATTAAGAGCCTCCTGCATACTGGGCAGACACCTTCTTGTTGGACTGCACCCTGAGCCTGTCCTAGCTTCCGGAAGAGAGAAGCTGACCCCCACAGGAGACACTGTGGGACAGCTGTCTAAGTTGGGAGCTGTCACTCCTCCAGGCACACTACATTTAGTCCTTCACTAGGACATTTCCTCTCGTCATTCAATGTGTTGTTTTTGTTTGTTTGTTTGTTTTCTAGAATCCACGTAATCCTTGTCCTTCAAGTGTTACAGGAAGCTACTTTTTTTTATGTTTGGTTTAGTACTGCTCCCCAGTCTCTATATGCTTGAGAGAGCTGATGAAAAAGTGAACAATTTCAGTCCCCTCTTAGAGAGAAGGGCTATGGACATTCTCCTAGGCCCTGGGCCGAAAGGTTGATGTTCACACACAACACCCTGCTGGAGTTTCTTACTCCTATAGAGAAGCGTTTCATTAAAATTTCTACAGCGCCCTTTAATCAGTGTAAGCTTTGATTAAAAATGAAGTGAGAAATGCCCTAGGCCTTTTGACACAGAAAACAGAGAGTTAAGTGAATTATATCTAACAGAATACTTATTAGAATAATGTTGGGCGCAAAGTCACCAAAATATGGAAATGTCAAGACTATCGGATAATAGCTATTCCCACTAAGTGTGGTCAACAGATTAAATGCCAGCTTTAGTTAAAGGGACAGCTCTTTCTCTCCAGCAAGTTTCCCACTTAGGCAGACTGAGTTTATGCTGAGCTCATCGCTTCTTCAACTGTAATATGTCTTCCCCTTTCTTCTTCATGGCCAAACACTTGCCAACGCTGAAAGCAACTCAAAGAGCCAGCCGCCAGGAGAGCACGTGGTGACCTACGCTACAAACCCAATGTTCTGCTTTTTTATTATGAATTGACTCGCCAATAGTAATTGTGTGCACTTCAGATAAGTTTGATGCCCTGCTGCTATCTTTATGAATACCTGGTTCACGAACCTAGGGTATAAAAGAAATCCAAAGAGCATCTGTGAGCTTTCTAAAAATCGGATCAGGAAACTGTTTCTGCAGGTTCCAGGAACAGCAAGTTAAACAGATCAAGAGCATCAGAAATCCCACGCAACTGAACTACGGGCTGTTTAACTGCTGATAGCCGAGCGTCGTGACTTTGAATGAGAATGAGAGTTTCATTTCATAGCATCTATACTCTCTTTCTCCATATGCTGATTTGGATTTAGTCTTTTAGATATTTATGTTTAAGGTGGTCAGTCCTAAGCTTGAACTAATACGGAACGAAACATTTCTCTAGAATTGTATTTAATGCAAAAGCAGCAGTTACAGCATACTTAGCTTTTATAATCTGGAACGATGCATTTTAAGTGTATTGTAGACTATAATATGGTCCATATGGAATTTCAGGATTCATTTGTTTGCTTAGAATTTGAATTATTTACAGTAACCATTTGTAACTCTATGCTGCTCCCCTGTAGCACCTCAGCAGAGTAGCTCCCTTGTTGGTTCCTTGTGGAGTTTTATTTTTAATACAGTGTTCTTGAATCATGGTTGCCTGAGTCACCAACTTCTATCCCTACACTAGAAGCTAGACTGTCTTTTAGCACAGTGGCAAAACATTTTCTTTTATGCTTATGAGTGTTCTCCTTGAATGTATTCATGTGTACCGTGTGTGTCAGTACCCACAGAGGCCTGAGAAGGATAGCCTATCCCCTGGAAATGGAACCACAGATGGTTCTCAACCACCATATTGCTGCTCGGGACCGAACTCAGTTCTCTGGAACAGCAACTAATGCTCTTTAGTGATGAGTCATATCTACTGCTCAAACAAATAAATTATTAGTCACCAATAATTTTTTTTGTGTGTACACTGTGTGTGTGTGCACATACACAAGTATTCCCATGTGTTTGGAGGCTGGAGGTCAACATGAGATGCATTTCTTAGTGGCTTTCTGCTTGGTTTTGAGATAAGGTCTCTCAGGGAATTTGGGTCTAATCAATTCTGCTAGATTGGCAAGCCCCAGATATCCCCCTGACTCAGCAATCCCAGTACAGGTGTGCAAGGCTATGCCTAGCTTTTTACATAGGTGACAGGATTCTGATCTCAGGTGTTCATACTTGTGTGGCAAACATTTTTTTTCAATTGAGCTATCTCCTCATCCCCACCACCAACTTTTATCAAAAAGAACATGATGGAATATTGCTATGAGGAATGCATTTTCAGATAGGCTGCATCTTCAGTTTCATCTACAGGAAGAATGGAGCTGGTTGCTGAGAGGAAGAACTGGACATTGTTCTGCCTTGTCTATAATTGATTTGCTAGGCTGGGGTGGGTTACGTGGGAACTGGTAGATCATCGATATGCCTTCTTCAGTTTATGCTGTGTATGTAGGAGGAAAAATGGAGCACTTCGAGACTCTTTCTCAGGTTTCTTTTGTGTGTGTTGGGGGGGGGGACTCTTTGGTTCTGTTGTCTGCCTCAGATGCTTCTGGCTTGCCCTTTAGGTTCTACTGAACTTAAGCTTCAAATCTCATTCTGACATTCTTCTGTTCCCCTGCCCTTTAAACTTTCAGACTTCTTCTTGTCTCCTGATTCCTCTTCCTTTCTTGTTATCTTGTCACTTTGTCACCAGCTCATTTCTTCTGTGTGCCCCAAAACTAAGTCCAGTGCCCTATCCTGGAGACTCTTCCTACCCTTAACATAGCACACAATCATAATCTAAAAAATAAAAGACAGCATGGATCTGGAAGGATGAGATTGAAAGGCCAACAGGAAATGATCCCGTAGAGTAGCAAACATGTTGATGTGAGTTAGTTGAAAGGATTTATTCTCGGTGACAAGAAGTTTCAGCAAGGAGCCCTGGTATTCAAGAAAGGACCCTCTCCAAGAGAATTCCTGGGAAGGACACAAAAAGAGTAGAAACAAACAAACAAGCATTTCAAGACAGAAAGAAAGGAAGGAGGAAAGGAAAGGAGAGGAGGGGAAGGGAGGGGAGGAAGGGAAGGGAGGGGAAGGGAGAGGAGGAGAAGAGAGGAGAGTAGAGGAGCGGAGGGGAGGAGAGGAGGGAAGAGGAGAGGAGAGGAGAGGAGGGGAGGGGAGGGGAGGGGAGGGGAGGGGAGGGGAGAGGAGAGGAGAGGAGAGGAGAGGAAAGGAAAGGAAAGGAAAGGAAAGGAAAGGAAAGGAAAGGAAAGGAAAGGAAAGGAAAGGAAAGGAAAGGAAAGGAAAGGAAAGGAAAGGAAAGGAAAGGAAAGGAAAGGAAAAAGTGTTGGGGGAGGTGTGAGTGGGGAGAGTTGACACCATAACTTCCTTACAATTCAGCTCTGACTCCAAGGACCTGCAAGAAACATCTGCTTATTTTGCTTTTCTTCTTTCATTGTGCTGCTTCAGCAGGTCCTGGCAGTTATTCTTGTCTTTATCTCTTTGTCTGCTTTCATAAGTAGAATGGATGCTTATTTTATTTTTAAAGAACCAATGAAAAGTAATGAAATTAAATAAGTAACACACTAGATTATGACTAGAATTTTTGTTATTTGTAGCAAAGATTTTTGCTACAAAGTTTACCAAAAATTGCTACTAATGTTGTCTTGTAAATCTCTCTTGAATCCCAGGTATTGCGATTTCGGATGAACTTGATAAGGTAAGCTGAGCTCTGTATCTAATGAACAAATGCAGGACTTATGTTTGAATCTACATATGAATTGTTTTTTTCTGAAGCATACAAAATAACTCCAAAACAGTTATTTGGTGTTAATAATGCTCCGATAATCCTCAATGAAAAACACTGAATTAAATATATACCATCTTCTCCTCGAGTCAAGGCCTTTATAATTTGCTTAGACTAAATAAGATCACCAAATCATTATATAAAAATTAAAAAAACTACCAATACTACGTATATTATTGGGACATAGCCATATCTAGATGATGATGATGACGACGACGATGATGATGTTATTGTGATTATGGTGGTGATGTTGCTGGTGGAATAGTGATGACTGGTAATGATGGTGATGGTAATCCTGGTGATGGTGGTGAGCATGATGGTAATTATAATGGAAGGAATTTTATACCGCCACCCTTTCTCATTACATGTTATTGTTTGCTTGATTTAGCTTTCCAAGATGCCAAGAGAATATGATGATGATCTAAAGTGAAGTCACAGTTGTCAGGGTGGTGAAAGCAGTGTGAATAGGAACATATATATCGGATACATATTTCCACTCGTAACATCTACAGTCCTAACTGTTCCTCACAGGGGACAAGGGGGCGTAGTCATAGAAGGCACACAGTGACTCCTGAGTCATGGAGACCAGCTTCTGCCTGAACTGTAGTTCCTGGGAAAAGCGGGAATGGAAGGGCAGATGTTCAGGTGGGGCTGTGACCAAGAGTTCTTTTTGGTGTGCATTCATCTTGAGTTGCCTATTAAACTTGTTTGTACAGTTGATACTCACAGAGCAGATCTGCCTCAAACAACTCACTTGGGGGTTAACCTGGATCTAAGTGTTCAACTCCCTTCAGTCTCATGATCCCTTTACAGTGTTCATCAGTGTTACGGAGGTCACTAAAGACCTTGCTTTCATGCACATTCTATCTGGCAATATTTGCTATGTGAGAAATTAAAAACGGATAAAATTTTATGTGTTTATTATTTTCAAATAGTACTAAATAAAGGTGTTACATTGGCCAAAAAAAGGAAGAAAGAAACCATATCAATGAAAAATGCTTTATTTTCCAAAACAAAACATTACTTATTGAAGAGGACTTTACACTTACAAACCTCTTTTGTACTGGGAATAGCTTGAGGCTGATGGATTCTTATATCTGCGTCTTCATTTGATGTGTTGCAATTTTCTTCTTTGGGTGACATAAATCTGACATCAGAAATGTAGTTAGAAAGGGATGACATGGAAAGGGTCACCATTGGAAAAGTATTGCACAGATTGAGACCATATGAATCACAACATTTAAAAATAGCAAAGTATGGTACAAACGGTATTGTTTGTCCCAGAGTGAAGTTTCTCAAATACTAATATGACCTTTTATTTTAAGTTTTAAAATGCCTGCCTGAGTCACTAATAAAATGGCATGGTTATATTCTTAGACACGGTTCCCTTCAGTAACCATCAGTGTTTTGAAACTAGTAGAATAACTCTTGCTTGTATATGACAGCAAGTGGGGTGAAAACTAGGTGTGCTCTCTTAGCTTTGCACAACATTTCTAGTTCTGTCTCTGCATCCCCCATTCCTTGCTTGCCTGGGCCATGAAACGACTTCACAGTTTGAAAAATCTTAACAGTCTCATCTCTTTCCACCATCATCTACCTTCATTTTAAATACGAGGACACTTTGGTAGACTCTTCTAGATTTCTTGCCTTGGTTCCCCTGTACCCCCCGTACACTACAAAACCTGGCCTCCTGGCCTATCACGAAGAATGCATGTGTGGAGCTCTCACTGGCTTTGCCTCCCCTCCCCTCCTCTTGTGTGCTGAGTGGTGGCAGCATTGCTGTGCTTCTCGGCAGAGTTTGAGAACCTTTCTTTTTACTGAAATGAACTTCTCTCTGGGTGCCTTACAGCTGCCTTGAGCTGCCCTGACATGTATTCAGGTAGTCAGGTGCCTCCCACAGCCTGTTCTTCCCCATACGCTTCTTTGCCAGTACTGGGCAGCAGGTGCGGAATGGGATTAGGGGAATGAGGAGACTCCAGTTCACAAATTGGGAAGCTCTGCCGGATAAGGTTGAAGTCACTCGTCTCTGGGTAGCCATTTATTTGCCCTCAGTCTATCATAATGGACTCCCTCTTCTCAGCCATGTGTTAAGAGTCTCTCCTGACCAGAGTGACCCCGGTTCTTGTAAAGAGGTCACATGGCCCTCAGAGAAGATTACAGGCTGGACCCTTCCCTGATAAGGAAACTGCTCTAGCAAGCATCTAGCAATTCCTAGAAATGCCCCACCCTGCTAAGGATCTTAGTCCAACAATCTTCAATTGTTCCTTGTGATCCCACTCCCCACATACAGGAAAATGAAGGACTGTATTTTCCTGCTTGTGATAGGACCATTAAGTACCCCAGTGAATCAAATGCATTCATCCTCGGAATCCCTCCCTCTTCCCAGGGTTTATAGTGCCCTTCATTTCACAGGAATAAAGGTAGGCACTTTCTCACTTCAAGGCCATCTGGGGCTCATCATTTGTACTCCTCCAGGCCCGCATATCTCTGGGCCTGCCTTCCTGCCCTCTGGAAAGGCAGGGCTGTGTCTCAGGGCTGTGTCTCAGCTGCAAGCCAACCAGGCATGGGCCTTGGCCCACACCTCTGCTGTGCTGAGCACAGCAGCTTAAGCTTAACCAAGAGCTGTAACACTTTGGCATCGCCAGAGGCTGTGGAACTCGCGAGCTTGCGTTGCCACCAGTGATCTCATGCTGAAAGGGATAAAGTGTGATAGTCGGTGGAAAACCTTTTCCACACCTCAGCTTAGTGCACTCGGGCTCAACCTAAAGTGCTCCAGCTGCCCCCGGGAGAAACAGAAGCCCCGTGCTCTGTCCAGAAGACAAGCTCCAGGACCCCAGCCAAGACCCAGGATCCCATCGAATGGAGAAGGACAACAAATCTACATGACATTCCTCGTGTCAGTCAGCTTACCTTATACATCTGTGTCTGGAAAAACCTCTTGGAAATTTATCATGTTTATTTCAGTTGAGGAAAACACCAACAATTGTCAAAAGCAACTTCTCTTTTTGAAAAGATATTTATGTCAGTGAACAAAAACTCGATGTCATTCACCTCTGAAACTCAAGAGTTGGAAAGGATCCCCGGGTCCTCTGCCAGCAGAGCCCCACTCAGCAGAGAGCCTGTCCCACAGCACCCCCTTGTGGCTGTGACGCTCACAGTCCTGAATTCTCCTGACAAAAAATATCCCAAGTTCAGGAACCTGTAAATACAATTTTTTTTTTTTTTGGGGGGGGGAGTGGTTTCTTTTTAGGAAAAATATAATGTAACATAAAAAATGACATAGCATGATATGATATGACAAAACAATTAAATCTGCCCCTTTCCTTCACTTTCTCAAAGCCCTCCCATATAGCTCTTTGCATTCAACTTCAAATTCATGGCCTCTTATTTTTTTTCTAATTCTAATTGCATGTATGTATATCTATACACACACACATATATACACATGTGTCCTTAAATATAACCTCTTTAGTCTGTAAGATGTTGTTCCTAGGTGCGTTTTTAAGGCTGACCATTTGGCACTGGAGAACCAAATGTTGTCATCTTAGCTTGTGTTGGCTTGGTCCCTGTGCCTTCAGGGCAACGACAAAAAGCACACATGGTTTTACTTTCATTTCCACAACAGCTTTGATGTTCCACTAGAGACATATTTTTCGACAGTTTGTAATATACTAAATTTTATTGTTCTGTGCCAACTCAACAGTCGTTTTATTTCAAATGTGCTCTCTGTGACTTTCGAAGTTGGTGAATTCTGAAAATTCACCGCCTTTCCTTAAAATGAAGGGCGACAGGAACCCCACCATCCCTGCTCGCTGGCCGTTTTCGTTCCTTCCCGTGTGGATATGACAGATTTCTGTCACACCGTAACGCTGTGACAGCTCCCCCTTGACCACCCTGCTCTTCCGTGACTTAGGCGCAGATGTGAGTTGTGTTCTTGTGCCAGCGTCAAGGTGTCCTCAGAACTGCATCCCTGACTGGAGAGAAATTTGTTGTCTTGCTTTTTCCCACCACCTCCCCCAGAAGAGTTCTGCAACTGGCACTACCTCTCCTCTCTCTCACTTCAGCCACCTAAGCGTCATGGCTGCTACTGCGCCATGTTAGGTTGGGGATGCCTCGAGACCACCGGAAACCTTTCCATCCATGCCCTTAACTTTAATCTTGCAATGTTTGTTTTTGTTGTTGTTGTCGTCGTCGTCACGTAAAGTATGGTGCTCATGAGTGTTAAGGGTTGGGAACTAGACATCCTTGAAAAGTCCTCATCCTGCCTTCCCAGCCACTCTGCAGGTAGAGATGGTGGGTCTGTCTGTCTGCCTGTCTTTTTATTTGATGAATATATAATTTGCTGAGCATAAACTTTTCAGTCTCTTGATTCGTGTTTAACCCCTTCAAAATACCACACAGTAGATAAAATGTCTGGGCTGCTCTTCAGCTGTGCTTGACTAGAAACGGGTTCTGAGAAAGCGTTCATGTTCAGGAGTGCCTTCTGGGATCGGAATACATATCTATCTATCTGTCTGTCTAAACTGATACTGGTTTTAGGCTCACTCTGCTAAGCTGTGGTTGACATCCACCATTCTAGTGCTAGGAATACAGGTGTGTGTCACTAAATCTGGCTTGTGTGTTCTGGGATCAAACTCTCTAACCACTGAGCTATAGCCCTTCTAGCTTCTCTTTCTTTTCTTGCCTTCCTCACCTTTTTCAGGTTTCATTTGGTAGAAGCTCCTTAATCAGTTATTTTCTTGGTCTCTGATGGTAGGACTCTCTACCTAAGATCAGCCAGCAGAGGAAACTCACTTAGGCAGAATCTGGTTAGGCAGAATCTGGCTGGAAGGTTTTTCTTTTGGAATGTCTACAACCTGCCAAATTACACATGTATTTCTAAGACTAGAATTAAGTCTCCATCTTCTGCCTCA